GGACACCTGCACCTGAATAAGATGACCTAGGGCTGAACATTTTGGCTTTTTCCCAAGCTTTGTCTTTGAAAAATCTAAGACCAAGGTCAGCATTCTCTTTTCTAAATTAGTTTCTAATGTAAAACTTAAAAATTAATTTTAATTAGAATTAAAAATCCACAGAATAAAGGTAAGTTTTACCAATGCATAATAAAGTTTATTTGATAACTCTACCTACATTAACATACATGTTTGTCAAAGGATATTTGTAAACTACTTTTAGTAGAGATATTTATATATTTATAACACCACAGTTTCCAATGGATTTTCACACATTTCTCAGTTGATAAATAGCACATTACGGTAGAAATTACAAAGGCTTTGGATTAGACCATTAAACTGCTTTCTGACACATGAGTGAGTGATCTTGGGCAAGTTCTGTTTTGCCTTAGTGTCCTTTTCAAAATCCTCTTCTTGTTCTGCACGTTCTTCAGATCACCTTCAGCAGTTACTGTTGATCAGCTGATGGCTCCTATCTATGTACATTCTCAAATCTGTTATCTCCAACTGAGATTTTCTTTCTGAGCATCAGACTACTTAGTATAAACAACTACTTACTAGACATAAGTTTCTACTTAGATCCCACTGAAATAAAACTCAGTACAGTTGACCCTTGAACAATGCAGTGATTAGGGGCGCCAACCTCCCCCCCCAGTCAAAAATCTAACTTTTGACTCCCAAAAAAATTTCAGTCATCCCTCAATATCCATGGGGAATTGGCTTTAGGATACATTAGATCCCAAAATCCTCAGTGCTCAAGTCCCTTACACAGAAGCACATACAACAATGCATACAGTCTGCCCTCGCATCCACGGAAGTACCGTCTTCCATCTGTGGATGGTTGACCCTGGAAGCGAAACCTGGGGATACAGAGGCCTGACTATATTTACTGAAGAAAATCTATGTAAGTGAACTTGTGCAGTTCAGACCCGTGTTCAAGAGTCAACTGGACTTTAAACTGAAGAAAACCCCCCTAACTCACCCTGTGCCCTATGGTCTGTTCGTATCCCAGGAGTTTCAGCTACTTAATTACCAAAGCCATCTAACCACATCTAGTTGATTCTACTTCCAAAACACTTTCCTGTTGTGCTTTTATAAAGCAACTGCGAATGTCCTATTCAGGGTGTTAACTTGGACGGACAACAATGCAGCAACCTCAACTGAACTGTCCCGCAGGTGGCCTGCCTATCCACAATCTGCTCTCCACACTGCAGCTGGAGTCAACATCCTCATAAGCCCTCACTACCACCCCCTGCTGGCTGAAACCACTGGTTCCTGTTGCCATCAGGATAAAGGCTGCACTCCTTACCCCCTCACTCCTCCTCTACACTGGGCTCCACTCCACAGGCATACTAGCTCCCTACCATGTCAGTCGGCCGGGCTTTCTCTTGCCGTTTGCACATGCGACAACTCCCATGAGAGGTGTGAGTTCAGTGACCTCAGTGACCCTCACTTAGCTGGTATTCATCCCTCCCAACAGCTTTAGCCAGAGATTAGGAATCAAAAACGGCCAAAAAACGCTTCAAGGAACCACTCAGGTGCAGTTGTAATGATCTTTCGGTGTTCAGCTAAAAACCTACGGTGATCCCTGTGCAGATTTCCAGAGCTCTGCTCTGCGCGGCTCCCTCCTCTGTATTCTCCACAGATGTGAGCCGCCGTCCTCAGTCTCCATCTGTCTCCCGGCCAGCGAGCTTGCTGGGCTCCGCTTGGCTCTTTCTCCCTCTGCCATGACCCATGAGGGCTCATCTCATTTGTTCCCCTTACTTTGGGGATCACAGTTCTGCGTTGCCTGTGTCCAGTGCCTCAAAGCAGTTAATTGACAGACCATAAACACACTGTAGTTGTGTGTGTGTGACTTCAAAAATACACAGTTCGGTTTCTTAGTGGTTCACATGGGGGAGGAGATGAAGCACCAGCTTGGCTGTCATAGTTAAAAGGAAGTCAGGTCAGTTTTAATGGTCAAAGAGTCCATCATTGACTTAACATCCAGAAATTATTCCTTTGAAGGAGTGATCAGACTTAGGGAGCAGAAGGCTACGGAGTTTTGTTTTGTGACATATTAGTACCTGGAAACATCAACCCGTGTGTTGCATTTCCTTTCTCAACCATCCCCCCACAGTCTGCGTAGAACAAAGAAAATACTCAGTTTAAGGGATGTTGCAGCCAGTTTGAAATAATTGGAAAGTTTTTCCAAAACAAGAGCTAATTACACCCCTCTCTCATTCAGATGAAGTGAAAAGGAGCTGGACACAGTAGGGGGAGAGAATTTGGGAAGAAAGAATAGGGACAGGTGTACAGTAGCTGCTTACCAACACTCCTCTCACCATACACACACATTGGGGTTTGGTGAGAGTTGTCCCTGACAAAACGGGGCCTGCTCCTCTAGAAATTCAAGGTGGGAGAAAGACCTGACTGCGCCTGTTCCATGATTGGTAGCTTGCATACTTGACATCTTCGCCATGCGCTTTCTAAACTTGAGGGTTGCAGCAATGACAACCCAACAGCTTTGGGGCTAAGAGCGATGTGGAAGGGAATTGTCAATTTACTTTGGGCCCAGAGAGATGCTCAGAAGTTAACGGGAGGAATGAGCTGGTGTGCCAGTTCCGAGAAGCCAGGCTGCAGAGCGTTCTGTGTTGTGAGTATTATACTGGCACAGTGTCCTTGAGCAAGCAACTACAACGTGATGGGATCTCTTGTGCTGTGAAACTGCACGTAAAACTCTGGATATCACCTGGGCCGGCGGGACAGACCAGGAGAACACGAGCAGTTGTGTCAGCTCAGGGTTAGCACAGACAACTTGCTAGAAGAGGACATCAGTGGTGGCCAAGCACGCATTCAAATGCCAGTTTCCCTGCCTCTGAATCTAGAGGCAGAATTGGGATGGGAGGATAGTAAAGAACACCAGAAATGGAATTTTGGATTGGACTGTAAACAATTTAGGAATTTTGGTTTTGACTGGTGAAAAGCTTCCTGAATTCCACTGGATTTACCTGAAAGGTTTGAATTGGCCAGAGAACAGGCAACTTCCTGAAAGTGTGTTTGTGTACCTTTGGTATTTGTGGACTATCCTCTTACATGTAGATAATTTACTATTGAATTGTTCAAAGTTAACTGATTGAGGTCATCTGAATTTATCAGACTACTTGAGTGATCGTTTAGCTTTTAAGAAAAGAATCTACTTCCTGGGAATGAGGGTGACCAACGGTCCTAGTTTGCCTGGGACTGTGGTTTCTTGAGACTCAGGAAGTGCTAAGACTGGAAAAGTCCTAGGTAAACTAGGGTGAGTTGGTCACCTTAGGTTAATCTTAATGGCAGATCTTTCAGGAATTTCCAAACTTTAAAATTAACATTTCTTTCAAACCTAAGAAATAAAAAGATAAATACTACAAAGGAATTAGCTACATAGTCTTAACTGGTTAACCAATATAATATTTTTATGTTAACCTATAAAAATGTAAAAAAAAATTACACTTAGTGGTTTTTTTTTTATACTTTAGTAATTTTACTTATTCAAATGATTGAAAATTTGTAGCTCTTAAAAATAATAGGAAGCACTATAGCATTAGGTTAACCTACAGATTTAAATGTTTTGTTATTAGTAATTGTCCTAAACATCTCCAAATTAACTTAGTATTCTAATGATAATTAGCAATGGCTTTAAAATTTTATTGGTTAATAAATGTTCATCTTTCTTATACAAATACAAAATCTGAGAACTATCAGATTACCAAAATATACATAATGGCATAATGCTTAGTAAAAATATTAATAGGCTAGAAATTTGCCTGCATTTTCTACAGAACAAATCAGTGTTCTGTGAAAAGCACATTTTGTTTAAAAACCGGGTTTAGGCTTCAATTGAATAATAAAGAATATGTAAAAGGGAACTTAAATATTATCTAGTTCAGTTGTCTTAAGTTTTTGAGGGCAGAGAGGCTCCTTTGAGAATATAATGAAAGCTATGGACTCTCCACCAAAAGGCATGTACAGTTTTTTAATTAAAATTTCACGTAGTTCACACTCTTGGGACCTGCAACACCTGATTTGGTTCAATCACTGAAAGTATAGTATATAGTTTTCTCATTGTTCGCATGACTGCTTCCTGGTTCTAACTGTTGAACCCGGAAGATAACACGCGTGCACTTCCGCAGGTGGGTGTCTCACGAGGAATGGCAGCTTGCTCCTGTGAGCACGGCGCCTTCTTCTCTGTGCCTGTTAGTCCTTTGGTTTGTGGCTACCGGCCACCTTCTCTGCTACTTCATGAACTGAGAAGAGGCCCTAGCGTGATGGTCCCCATACTTCTCTTCAATTGAGGCTGCACCCTCGCTCTACTGGCAGGTGTGGGACAAAGGAGAGCACTCCCACTGCCAGGCCCTCATGAAAGGCAAAAGGGAGTCTGATTCATTTGTGGTCTTCACCTCTCGAATCCTAATGTTTCCATCCCCAGCAACTGGGAAGAAATGTCCTTAAAAGTCCTGGATTGACAACCTCATTCTTTTGCATAGGCAGAGACCCATTAGTAGCATTCTTTTAAAACTAACAGTTATTACTTGCAATGCACAGTACAGTGTAGGATGTAATGGTTTCTAAGACCCAGTGCCTATCTTCCAAGAAATTGACAGTCTAGTAGGAAAGCCAGCTATGTGCACAACTGGGAAGGACAGAGCAGAAATACTGAACCATCTCCTTTAGGTTAATCTCTCTTAAATGTACAGAAGCTATGCAATGGGTAGGTGGTCCATTTGACGAGCAGAATTAGGATTTGTCTTCCCTTAACCTGGAAAATTGGTTAAGGTAGATGGTAGACAGAATAATGCACCACCCTCACCCCAAAAATATCCACATCCTATTCCCGGAACCTATGACTGCTTTAAAAGGGTGAATTTTATGGTTATGAATTATATCTAAAAACTTATTTTTAAAAGTCTTAAAATGAATCATTCAATGAAAGCATTAAAATGTTTAAAGATTTTTTAATTAAATAAGTTTTGAACTTAATTAAAACTACCACTTTTGTGGGAGTTGAGATTAAAGAAATATCAGAAATATAAAACTTGAACATAAATCCAGATCTTTAACTTGTAACTATTCTAATATCCCCCTTTAAGTTTGCTTCAATTTTATTATTATTCATTTCCAGATTCAGGTTTTGCATTACTTTGGAGAGCATATTTTCATCTTTTTTATCTCCCAAAGCAGCCCCTTTGTTGAGGGCTTCTTCAGCTACAATAAAAAACTGCTCAGTTGGTTGAAGGATGCTTACTCCATAGCCATTGTTGTTGTAAATATGATTATTAGTCATCTTTAGTTTGGGTGCAGGAAGAACCTGTTAAAGTATTCAAGGAAGTTAGTTTTTCAATAATTTCTATAAAAATAAAATATGAACTAATGAACATGTCATAAGCTCTAGAACTCAACGTATTTCTTTAAAACAACTGAATCTCTCAGTTTTGAACAAGCGTTATTTTCCTCACAGTAGATTCTTGTAATCTTAACTACAAAAATGTTTAATGAGTAAACATTAAATGTAAAGTTTTCCATTTATTTTTATCAGTTATTAATAAAGACAACATTCTAGATGGGTTACAGCAATATCCCATGAAGTTGACTTTTAATGGAACATAAGTATGAAAATAAATAATTTCAGATAATGAAATTTATCTGATAAACATGAAAATAATTTCAAATAATGATCCATGAACTAGATTTCTAGGGAAAAACCTCATTAACTACACAAGTCTAGAGAGGGACCTAGAAAGGCAGCGTTCATAGAAGCAGAAAGGAATGGGGGAAGCATTTCACTTATAAATCATTGCTGTTAATGTTTAAATTGGTTAAATTATTTTACAAAGTTTGAAAGTAAGACTAACTATTTCTTAATGTAGTTATTATTCTCTTAATTTGCTTTACTTTCCAAAATGTATTACACATCTGCTCAGTGAAAAACCTAAAACATTTTTCCAGGAGCAAACAAATCCACTTTCTCATATTCAAAGTTATTTTCTAAGAATTCAAGTTGAAATCATTAAATTATAAGACTAAACTTGTTTCCTATTAGCCACCATTAAAAACATATTTTAATTATTTGTATTATTGTTTTCCAAATCATTTTATTTATTGGGTCTTCGGAAAAGTCATGACGTATTTTGTCTATGTTTTTCAAAGGTCATTTATTTATATAAAGAACAAAGATCAATCAATGATATATTGCCCGTTTTGTTCCCTTTTGCCCTCTTTCCGTGAGCTTCATAATTCCTCGTTCATAGAAGGACCTGTCTTTATTTGCGAAAAACTGAACAAGGTGCTGATTTACAGCCTCATCTGAATTGAATGTTATACCATGCAAAGAGTTTTGAAGAGAGCGAAACAAGTGGAAGTCTGACGGTGCAGGTCAGGCAAGTATGGTGGGTATGGCAACACATCCCATCCAAGCTCCAATAATTTTTGACAGGTGATCAAATTTGTGTGTGGTCTCACGTTGTCACAATGGATGGAACACAACTCCTTTACAATTAACAAGCTCTGGACGTTTCTGGATGATGGATTCGTTCAATCTGTCCAATTGCCGATAGTACACATTTGAATTGATTGTCTGGTTCCTTGGTATGAGCTTGAAAAACATAACACCTTTAAAATCCCACCACATCGAGAGCATAACCTTCCTCTGATGAATGTCTGCTTTCGATGTCGTTTGAAGTGAATCATCACGTCGGGACCAAGACCATTTACATACCACATTGTTGTAAACAATCCACTTCTCATCACCAGTTATGTTGCTTCAGAAAAGGGTAGTTTTCCTCACATTTAATGAGCACATTGTAGATGTTTATACGCGCCGTCAAATGAACTTCTTTGAGTTCATGCAGAACCCAAATATCAAGCTTGCTTAGTATCCCATCTTCTTCAGGTGGTCATGAATGCTTGAATGATGAATGTTCAATGTTCCTGCAATCTCCCGTGTTGTGTAACGTGGGTTTGACTCGATCAATGCCTTTATTTTGTCATCATCAACCTCGGTGGGCCTCCCTGACCGAGGAGCATCGTTGAGATCAAAATCACCAGCACAGAATTTCGTGAACCATCAATGGCACTGAAGTTCCTGTATAGCATTGTCACCGTAAACTTTATGCAACTTTTCACAAGCTTGACATGCGTTCTTCCCTTTATGGAAGTAAAACAGTAAAATATGGCAAAAATGCACAGTTTGGTCTTCCATCTGCAACTTGTAAAATCTCCAAAACTCAACCAAATCGCTAAATTTTTTTTTAGAAAGAAGCTAGAACTATCAGCTGTCAAATGACATAGCAATAACATAGATGCGAATGACTCTAGTACTTCCAAAAATGAACTAGTGCCATCTGTTGCAAACATGTGTCATGACTTTTCCGAAGACCCAATAGACTAACTTTTAAGACTAAAACTAATATTTTAGTATTTTTCTAATTATAATTTTTATAACAATTCTATATTAAGAAACATGAGAATACCTTCATATTAACTCCACCTAAGGTGCTTTTTGAACTGTCACCAGTTCTGAGGTTATTACAGTGATGAATTTCATTCTTTTCCAAAATGGCTATGCTCCCAGGATACAGTTCAACACCAGCACCCTATAAATTAAAAGCAAATAAAACCGTCTACAAAACACAAACATGCCTCTCCAGAATTGTCTTTAGATTTGAAAGTTGTAATTCTGTATTAGCAATTTAAACATACGAAGTTACATGAAAATACATGATAGTGCAAACAACAATGTATTGTAGATGTTTTAAAAATTATCTGTGTTAAGAAAATCCTAGGCCCAGAAAGAAAGTTGAAGTCATATAGTTCATTACATTGATTTCCCACCCAAATGAAGGCTCTAGAAGAGAGTCAAAAATTTCTTTAAGCAATTCTTTTCAGTTATAAAAATTTATATGTACTCTATATCTCCCGTAATGCTGCTAAAATCTATTTACTCATTTTAGTGAAAAGGAAGAAAAAAAATCATTCAATAAAAGGTCGTAATTTTTCCACTTCCTTTAATCTTCTTTTTCGTTCAATTTTCCAGCCCTTTAATCATCTTTGTAATTGTCATCTTAAGCTGTTAGAACTAATAATACAGTACTTTACAGCAATATGGAGAGCTCATAAGTACTATTTCTTAAATAAACCATCAAGTGACTGGCTCATGATCTGATTCCTAGGTTTATTTTTAAAAATCACCCTTAAAACAAAGCTAATAATTCTTTACTTTGGATTTAGGCAGTTCACTTTTCCTGAGTATACTAGGATACTCTCTCGTATCGGTCCATATTTTGTTTATGTTTATTAGTTTCTAAGCTCACTTATAATCCAATTCAAAGATGAAGTAATTGTTACCCTTTGTTTGCATACTAAGATCACTCAAAGCTATCTATAATCATATAGAGCCATAGTTTTTAAAATGAAGTACCTGGGCACCAGTTATCTCACTGTCTGTAATTGTCAAAGCAGCCCCTGTAAGAACACATACTCCTGTTCCTTCACATTTTAATACACAGTTTTCTAGAGTCATGTGACCAGACTCCACCACCACAATACCATCAACTGTCCCCTGCTGTATCAAGGATAGATTCATTATTTTCACATTATCAGCTTTGGACACCACGAAACTGTCATGAGAAGGTTCAGAAGTAATGATAATTTCCTCTCTGTTTCCAACTCCTGATTCATGGGGACAAAGATACATAATTAAATCAGTAATCCCAAAGTTTAGAGCCCTTTAGTCATTCAATAATACAAAGATACAAAATACAAAGATACAAAATATCTTTTCACATTTTAAATAATATATATAATTACTCAGTTGTTAACTAGTTACAGACTTAACTATAATGTAATCTTTTGTCCTTATTTGATGCCATGATGGAAGATTCTGGGTTTACAATCAATCTAAGTGTACCTAAGGTATCTATTCAACCTACTCATTCCACTACATATTTCTCTAAAATGTATAATCAGCAGTCATCTACAAAATGTCTAAGATACAAAAAATATCTTACCATAACCTAGTTTCAAAACCATAATAAATTACCAGACTAAAAAGATGGCAGAGACTCTTAAATTAGGTTACAAGATTAATGTAATCATCCATAATTTTGCTCTAGAGTAGTCAAAGCAATCATCTAAATTTAACATCAATCCAAAAATAAGGGGTTGGATCTTCAAGAAAGCTACAAGTTTATAAAATTACAAATATCCTTATCCATACAGTTTAGCAAAATACTGATTACAGTCATCAAAATCTAGTGAAAATTTGGCTCAGTTTTTGCACTGATAGGCAAAATTTAAGTCACCTGTTTTCTCTTGTCCAGACAGTTGGAATGCCCATACCTCAATGTACAAGGGCAGAATTAAAGATATTAAATATATTCAGAATCTAAACCTAAAAAAACAAACTCTGTTTTTTTACTTCTATTTTAGTAAGTTTGCATGCAAATTAACCTTTTGAGAAAATGCTGTATATATTTTAGTATAGCCTTATATTTGGGGCTTTCCATTAAAGTGATATAAAGTACAGTGGAGATAGATGAAAACAAAGTTGTTTGGGTAAAAATACAGATGGCACTAATAGAAAATATTTTGAATAGGTTTTTGGGGGTTTTTTTGGTTTTGATCATTTAGAATCTGCGAGTTTATCATTGGAGAAGAAGTCTCACTGATTGATTTGCTCTGTACAGTATGTCCAAACGGGGTCACCTGTGCAGATAATGTACTCAAAACTGGTGAAAAAAGTTTTTTTTCCTTTTTTTAAGGCACATAAAGGATTCCTGTAAAACAAACTGTTCTAATTTCTAATATTAACCATGTTTGTAATATACATTTTGTCCAATAATATTGCTATAAAATGATTGCAAATGATGCCCTGCTAACCCTTTATAACGATGTCATCAGTCAATAAAGCAAGATTTACAGCTTGATATTCTCCTGGAAAAATCACTACTGTATCTCCACCATAACAGCTATCCAAAGCCAAGTCCAAATCATCATGCTGTTGGAGAAGTGTGTCTGAAGGTAAGTCCTTTACCTGAAAAGAGGAAATAAGACAACACATCTTCAACAAGAGGTTAAACTAAAAGAGGCCATTTTAATCAGTTAACTTATTGGTAATGTGCTTTACCCAAGATTACCTTGTATAGGTAATACACCGTACTTACTGTATGGATTTATATTTGTTAAATGCTCACAGCATCAGTCCATCATTTAAGGGAATGATGAAATGATATTTTCTTTATGATAACTAATAGTTTTGCAGCTATTACAGCTAGTGTGCCAGAAGTCATATTTTGAACCTTACATTATTACCTCTTAAGCTTCACAACAGTTCTTTGAAGTAAAGTATTATTGTCCCCTTAAAAGGTTAAGGAAATTGAAACTCAGTGAGATTAAGCTAAGAGCAGTGAGTGATAAAGCTAAGCTTTAGAGCCAGCTCTTTATGACACCAGATCACTTTCCAATATACAACTTTGTTTTCTTTAACTCAAATTGACCCTACAATTTTGGTAAATCAACAAAAATTTATAATATTAAAGATTCTGGAACTAAAAACAAAATGTACCAGGAATTTGTACTGGGAGTAAAAAAGGGGAGAGAAGAACTTCATTATTAGTGCTGTGAAGAGTGAGGATCTTTAAAAATAAAATTGGGAAGCTAAAACTATATTCTGAAAAACTACCTATTCTTTTATCAATAGAAATGGCATTATCATTCATACATCTTCTTATAAAAGTAGGTTAGGACCCACCATAATGGCTTCATTTTCACTTAATCGCATCTTTAAATACCTCATCTCCAAATACTTATGTTACATGTGGAGGTACATAGGAACTTTGGGGAGACACTTCAGTCCATAACATCCCCTAAGATCAGGAACAAGACACAGACTCCCACTTTTACCATCGCTATTCAGCATTATATTAGCCAGAAGAATTTCTAGCCAAAGCAACTAGATAAAAAGGAATAAAAGGCACCTAGACTGGAAAGGAAGAAGTAAAATTTGCAGACAACATGATCCTATATATCCTATACATAGAAAATCCCAAAGAATGCACCAAAAAAGTATAATAGCTAATGACGAAGTGCAAGGTACAAGATCAACACACAAAAGTCAGTTTTGCTTCTACTCATGTATACCAGCCATGGACAATCTGAAAAGGCAATTAAGAAAACAATTCCATTTACAATAGCATCCAAAATAATAAAATGTCTAGGAATAATTTTAACCTGCATGAAAGGTGAAAGCCTTCTGTCAAAAACTTTAAAACATTGCTGAAAGAAATTAAAGAATACCTACATAAGTGAAAAAATCCCATGTTCATGAATTGGAAGATTTTAATATTACAAAGATGACGATACTACCCAAATTGACCTACACATTCAATGTAATCCCTATCAAAACTGCAACAGATTTTTTTTTCCAGAAATGGAAGAGCTCTTTCTCTAAGTCATATGGAATTACAAGAAACCCTGAATAGCCAAAAGATTATTGGAGAGAAAAAAAAGTTGGAGGACTCAATTTCTGGTTTCAAAACTTTCTACAAAGCAACAGTAATAAAGCTGTGTGATACTGTCATAAGGATAAACATACTGACCAATGGAATAGAAAGAAAAGCCCAGAAGTAAACCCATACCCCATGGCTAACTGATTTTTAACAAGGGTGCCAAGATCATTCAATCTCTCTCAACAATGGTATTGGGACAATTGGATAACTAAATGCAGAAGAATGAAATTGGACCCCCACCTCACACCATATAAAAAAATTCAAAATGGATCAATGACCTAAATATAAGAAATCAAATCATAAAACTCTTAGAAGAAAACATAAGAGTAAATTTTTATGACGTGGGATTTGAAAATGGGTTCTTAGGTATGATACCAAAAGCATCAAACTTTAAAACTTTTGTACATCAAAGGACATTATCAAGAAAGTGAGAAGACAACTATGGAATGGGAGAAAATATTTGCAAAGCATACATTTAATACTAGGTCTAGTATTCAGAATATATAAAGAACTCGTGATCATCAACAAAACAACCCAATTAAAAAATGGGCAGAGGTGCCGGCCAAATGGCTTGTTGGTTAAGGGTTGGCTTGGGAGCATGAGCTCTGAGCAGTAGGGCCGCGGGTTCGGATCCCACATGAGGGCCAGTGACGCTGCGCCCTCTACAGCTAAGATGGTGAACAACAGCTCGACCTGGAGCTGGGCTTCTGTGAGTCGCCGGCAGGCGACGGCGTAGGCTGCAGTGGGCTGCCATAAGCTACCGTGAGTGGCTGGCAGCCGAAGTGAGCTGCCGTGAGCCACCCTGTGTGGCCGTCCAATGGCTGGAGAGCGACTGCCTCACCCGGGAAGAGCACCACGATAAAACCAACATGGGCCAGCGAAGCGACGTCCTCCACAGCTAGACTGAAGAACAAAAGGACAGCAACCTGTCTGATCACTTTCCCCAATTTCCCGATGCTGTTCTCTCCCCCAATTCCCCAATAAAATCTTTAAAAAAAAAAACAAAATGGACAGAGGACCTGAATAAACATTTCTCCAAAGAAGATATACAAATGACCAATAAGCACATGAAAAGTTGCTCAACATCATTAGTCATTAAGGAAATGAAAATCAAAACCACAATGAGATACAACTTCATACCCACTAAGATGTCTGTAATAAAAAAGATAACAAGTGTTGGTAAGGATGTGGAGAAATCAGAACCCTCATACATTCCTGATGGGAATGTAAAATGTTTCAGCTGCTGTAGAAAACAGTTTCATATCTCAAAAGGTTAAACATTGAATTACCATATTAACCAATAATTCTACTAAGTAAATACCCCAAATAATTGAAAACAGGTAGTCTAATATTTGTATATGAATGTTCATAGCAATGCTATTTACAATAGCCAAAAAGTGGAAACAACTCAAACATCTATAAGCTGATGAATGGATAAGCAAATTATGGTATATAAATACAATGGAATATTATTCAGCCATAAAAAGAAATGACACCTTGATACATGTTCCAATGTGGACAAACCTCAAAAATGTTATGCTAGGTGAAAGAAGCCAAACATAAATGGCCACTTATTGTATGATTTCATTTATATGAAATATCCAGAATAGGTAAATTTATGGAGACAGAAAGGAAATTGATCATTGTCAAGGGCTGGAGGGAAAGGGGAATGGGATTTTATTTTGAGGTGACGAAAATGTTGGGTACTAGAGAGAGGTGGTGGCCGCACATTTTGAATGTACTAAATGTCACCGAACTGTTCACTTTAAAATGGTTAATTTTGTGATGTGAATCTCACCTCAAGAAAAAAATAAAAAGATACAAGAAAGAGAAGGATTAACCAAGAGCACATTTTTTTAAGGAGTCAGGCAGCAACAGAATCAATAGTACAGATGGAAGGGAATTAATTAAATTCTTCTTTGTATCTGGTATATTTTCAGATACAATTATCACCTTTTGTAGCATTACAGTTAAAATCTGAGAGCAATGACAATACATTATTGGGATATGAAGGCAAAATAGTAATAATAACAGTTGTCATTTTTGTGGTAGGCACTTTGTTAAAAGATTTATGTTTAAAACTCTTAAGCCTAATGACTCTGTAGGATAGAGTTCATTACTCCCTTTTACAAACGAGGACATAAGGGAAACTGTGTATTAAGTATTAAGACGCAAAACTGTGAATCAAACGCAAGTTTTTATTATTGGGTTGTCAGAAAAGTCATGACGTATTTTTTCTGTTTTTCGTTGCAAAAATGCATCATGACTTTTCCAACAACCCAATATTTCAAAGCCTCTGTTCTTCACCCCACATTATCCTGTCTCCAGACCGAGAAGCAACAGCTAGAGCCCATGATGAACAATGGGGATTCTCCCATTTCTTCGCGATCTGGGAAAATGACTACTGTTTAACTTTAGGCACTGGAGCAAATCCCTCTTATCTTCACCAGGAATAATTCAGAAGCCAGAGCGGGTCTAAACCTAAAGATAGCTGTCACAATTTGAGAACTTGGGGAATGTGAGAGGACACAAGGACTGATACTTGATTTGGTTTATGACATTAACTGAATAAGAAATATAGGAGGACGAGGGAAGGGCTATGTACAAAAAGATAAGTTCAAATTTAGAACTGTTGTGTTAGTGAGACGTCCCGGTAAAGATGCTTAGAAGGACAAGTAGTAACACTGGGCAGCAAAGAATAAAAGCAAGAAGGGAAAATAAAGACGTATAAATTCGCTGCAAAACTGTGTAACAGGCAATGCTAGGTATTTATACATAACATCTCATTTCATCCTCAAAAAACCCTATACTGTGGTGGTGGTGGTGGTAAACATGTATTAAGTACTTACTATATCCTGGGCATCATTCTAAGCATATTACAAATATGAACTCATTTAATATTCACAACTCTATTAATAAGCAGCTTACATTTCACAAGTGAGGGACTAAAGCACCAATGGGTAAACAATTTATTGAAAATCGCCTAATAGTAAGTGGCAAACACAGACTGAGAATCTGGGCGGTTTGGCTCCAGAGCCCGTGCTCTGGACTGAGTTTTTGTATGTCTTTTTAAAGCCCTCTGCAGATAAGGAAATTGAGGTTCAGAGATTAGGCAAGTCGCCCAAGATCACACAGTTATGAAGTGGTCTGAGAAAGTCTAAGGAAACCCTGGGCTCACTACCCTGCATGTGAAGGTCACCAACATAAAGATGGTGGACAGATAAAGCTGTTTAAGGAGAGAGTTCAGAGCAGGACGAACACGGAGTAAAGAGTGCTCAAGTTGGGAAAAGTGTTAGAGGCTGTGCACAAAGCTATGACTACTGTCAAATGAAAATATTTTGTCAGCCGTAAAGGCAAATCTAAAATCAAAGGTCTAAGCAACATGGAAGCTATGGATGCTGCTTTCAGTCTTCCTCTCTTCCTCCTCGCCTCCCAAGTTCATGGATATTTACTTACACAAATGAAGACAGGGTTGCAAAGCACTGGATAAAAAGCAAAGACGTTTCTCCTTATCACAGAGGAAAACAAAGCCAGACACATTTAAAAACAGAAAAGTAAAAATAAAAATGATAAAAGGAGGCTGGAGATAAAAAGCAAAACCTATACCTTACTTTTTAAAAAGCTATTTAAAAAGATGTTTATAAAGATAATTGGTAAAATAACTAATGTTATTGAATAATCTGATCCAATAAGCAATTAAAAGGAAAATTAAATTTTGTTGAAAATAATAAAAATGGACAGGAGAGCAGACAAGAGCTAAAACAAGCCAGCTTTGTCTCTCACCACTCTTCTTGCTGGACTGCTTTCAGTTTCTCATATATACCATACTCGCCTGTCAAACACACACTCATTTCCTGGTTCAGCCAAAACTGGTGGGCACCTACCATGTGCCAAGCATCATGCTAAGGTGATTGATGTGTGGTAAACCTATACCCTTTGCTCTCAAGAAGCTCTGTTCTAGTAAGAGATAGCTATAAAGTCTTAAATACAGTCATGATAGGGGAAAGTGCAGGGTGCTGTGGTAGTGTGTATTCTGGAAGATGGAGAAAGGTGGGAATGATCCCGAAATTGAGGCCTGAAGGATGTGCAGTGGCTCTGAGACATACCCCAGGATGTGGTGGTGTTGAGGGAGAAAGTGGGTCCGTGAAGGTGAGGAGGGATACGATTAGGATAATTCTCAGAAAATTGTCATTAGCAACTGGGTAGATAGTGGTACCATTTACTGGAACAGAGGACTCCAGAGTATAAACAGGTCAATGAAGACGAGCATGAATTTAATTGTGGACATTTGAGTTGAGGTATTTGTGAGATATTCAGATGGGAATGAGCAGTGGGCAGTTGGACATACAGGTTTGGGGCTCAGAACAAAACTCTGGCCTGTGGGTACACATTTTAGATTATCAGTCTATATAATCAAGGTCATGGGTAGAGATGAGATAAAGCACTTAGGGATAATATAGTGCAGAGAAAAGATAAGTACCAAGCATTTAGAGGACGTGGGAGGGGGGGAGCAACTACAAAGAATGAAAACCAGGAAAGTATAGTAACAGAAGACGACGAGGAAGAACATTTTAGGGAGAGAGCAGTGAAATGCTACTAAGAGGTCAAGTGAGATGTACATATTGACTTGGACTTAGAGCATCTTTTGCTCTTGGGCTGGTTACATGAATAGTCTTCCTTCAGCTTCATCTGAGTTATTTCTTCCAGCCAGCATTGTACCCATCCTATGTGCATCCTGTACGTGCTCCTAACATAGCATTGGTCGTTCTTTGTTATGTTGTAATTGCCTATTTACTTGTCCATCTCTCCACCATAACTCAAACTTGTCGAAGGTGTGAAGAAGCAGGACTGTGGGTCTGGTTCTATGCTATCGCCCTTAAATGTGGTCTTTCTCATGTTTGTCTCCCATCCTTTCCACAGATACGAGCCTAGTGCCTGACAACAAAGGTTCGTACTCAGCAAATAAGTGTTGACATTTACTTATTATTCTATGCCATCACTAAGCTAGAGGTAATAGGGGAAATAAGGCATTCATGAGTCAGACAAGAACCCTAACTTCAAAGAGCTTCTTTTCTGAGTATACGCAGCCAGCTAAACTGAAATGAACAAGGAAGAAGAAAGTGTATGTCTTACCATGTCAGTAGTCATCACTTTTGTTACAATGTGTGTTATAGCCTTTCCAAAGTCTCTTTTTCCTTTCCTACGCCTCAGAATTCTTGGAAAGAAAGGTCCATGAACTCTAGAATTGAAAACATTCATGATTAAATTAACATGAAAAGGATTCAACCTATATACTTCCTTAGAAAATAAGCAGCTCTGAGAAAGAGGTTTCACTAAATTTAAGCTCCTTAAGAGCAACAAGCAACTTGAGAGCAATGAATAAAGTATTTTAGGTAACTGAGTGTTGAAACCTTTGATCTTTTCATTTTAATCGTTTGTACCTGAAATCTGCACACAACCCACCACCACACTTAATACCTCAATCACTTCAACTTTTCAGTACAGTGGGAAATTTTCCTGATTGTATGTTCATCATCCACTAAATTATAGATCCCCACAAAGCAGAGGTGGGTTATGTCTGTGATACTGAGGCATAAAAATGTTTTGGACATGCCTAATTTTAGATACTATGTTCAATCAACAGATTGCTTTGTTTCAAAAGATAGGGTTTCCATAGAGCTAGTTGGCAGTTGGCCTCCTGGAGGTACAATTCTAGCTTCTCTCTTAGTTGCTTTTATATTGTTTGCTATTCAGCACGTGTAATTAATTCAATTCTTTCTCTCTGTCTGCTTTTCTTTACAGTTCCTGTTTCCTAGCGCTTAATCATTTGTCATCAAAAGAAAGAAAAAAATTTGAGTCTAACTTTTATCGTTACCATCAGCTGAAGGGACTCTCCTTTTCCAATGGATGTAGATTTACCACTAATCTTAGATGTCATCTTTGGGTTCTCTTTAGCACTTTGATTATTGTTTGATGTTAATGGGAGGCAGTTTTAGTAACAATATTTTTCAGCTCATAATTATCAAATATTTTTATGAAGCTTAAAATTTCAGGACACTGGTTCTAAGGATTTACCATACAAGTTATTAAAATTTGAATTCCAACATACTAGCAATGTCCTCCAAAGCAAAAGTTTCATTTACCATTTCAAAATCAAACCCACTCAGCACTTTTGTACCTCTTTCAGCAAGTGGCTTTGAAATTGAGAAGAATGACTCAAACATTTTTTTCCCCTGTACCTGATGAGTAGCTGCTCAAAGAGTAAAGCATCCTACATTCAGGAAGTGACAAGTGATCATGCAATCCCAGTTTTAAAATCAAAGGTATATATCTATTTTTTAATCAAATTTATTAAGGTATAATTAAATTACGTACACTCATTTTAAGTGAACCATTTCATGAAGTTTCACAAATGTATACACCAATTTAGCTCAATCACAATAATCAAGACATAGGGCATTCCCATCACACTCAGCATTGTATCTGTCAACTCATTGTCAAACCCAAGGTCACCAAGTTTCTCTCCTGTTTTATTTTAGAAGTCTTGTAGTTCTGTTTTATGTTTCGGCCGATGGATCACTTTGAGTTACTTATGTGAAAGTTTTTTTCTTGTTGTAAGGATAGTAATGATAACTCACACGCTCTTTACATGTCAGAGCTGGATCTGGAAGTCCTTTCCTATAGCTTCCATTTCCCAGTTGAGATTTTCCAATGTTAACACCATATTTTCCTTTAATTCTTTAGACATATTTATGATAATAGCTGATTTGAAGTCTTTGTCTGATAAATCCAACATCTGGACCCACTAAAAATCAGTTTATGCTGTCTTTTTTCCTGAGTATGGATCTGATATTCTGGTTTCTTGGCGTGTCTATTAATTTTTTGTTGAACGTTAGAGATTTTGGATGATATATTTTAATAATTCTGGATTGTGTTATATGCTTCTGAGGATTGTTAGTCTTGTATTTTACCAGGCAATTAACTTGCCTGGTCTCCCTTGAAGAATGCAGCAGCTGACATCTCTGCTCATTTCTCTCAACTTCCGGGTTCCTTGTAGCACAGTTCCCAGATTTGTCTGCCCCACCAATGCTAGCATACTTTATCAGTGGTCAACCAAGGATTTGGGCAGAGTTTATGCTCCATTTTTAGATAGCCCCCTTTTGCAGCATTTTTACTTTCAGGATATCCCACCTAAATTTCTAGCTGCTCTGCCAGCCCTGAACTCTGTCCTTTGTCACCTTGAAATGGACTGCATTTTTTTTACTGCTAGTGCTATAGGAATTGGTGATCACCCTCAGCCCAAAGAGCCACAAATTCCCATTTCTTTCTCATTCCAAGAATAAATCCATTTCAAGCATAAACTTTCTGGTTGCCGCCTGCTTTTGGCCATTTCATAGTGCCTTCAAATAGTTGAATACTTTTAATATATTTTGTTCAGATTTTGTAATTGTGATCTATGGGAAGGTTTGACCAATTAACTCCACCATTCCCAGACCTATGATTATAATGTTAAGATGAGAGAACTCTGCATTGCCCTAAGACATTAGAATCTAAAATCTAGTGATAACTTGTATTCAAATTCAGTTTTAGTTGAATCTGCATTTCTATCAGTGGATTTCAAAAATCTTATCTGTACTGATTTTCAAAGAAACTCGAGGGTTTTGTCACACAGGAATCCCAATAATAAGGAAACATCAAAAAGAGGCACTAGAATGGGATTCTTAGTGATTAAAAAAATAGGTCAAATTTGAAAGAAAGTACAAAAAGAAAACATGTAGGTTAACAGTTAAAGATTAGACAAGTAAAATATGACTCAGAATTCCTAAGGCAGAGAATGAGAAAAGGTAGAACACAAAAGAAGGGGTTTAACAATTTAGTATGAAAGAAGTCCTTTGGTTCCATTCAAGATTTTCCACTAATTTAAGGAACATGAGCAAGAATTTCTGTTCCCTCTCTATTTAAAACAAAGACAGAAATATGTGTATTTTACTTTACCATGATGTAAAAACATTTTAATTTTTAAGTGTTCTGGAGAATGATGCTGGTTAAATCTACATTGTTTTATCATCAAAAACAACATCAATTTATGTTGGTTAGGAGAGCAGAAATTATGAGGCAGCCAAATTAGTCAACGCTCTCTTTACTTTGCATATTATATGTGGAGGAGGTCCACCTCCTTGCTTATGCTTTGGCCAACATCAAAAAGGGAAAGATAAAAGGTAAGGAAAGGACTAGATTTATGAAATCTGTTTCATCAAAGAAATTATTTCCGGGCCGGACAAATGGCTCAGTTGGTTAAGAGTTCGCTCAAGAGTGCGAGCTCTGAGCAACAGCAGTTCGAGTCCTGGCCTGAGTTGAGCTGCCGCTGAGTTGCCAACAGGCGGCAGGATGGCTCAGCTAAAAACAAAAACAAAAAATTATTTCCGTCAATTCAGCTCATAGAAAAATAATGTTCCAACCCTGGCAGTTGCACTTTGTGCTTATCTCATAAATTGGACATCTAATATTATAATCATTTCAATCGGGGTAACATACCAAAGTTAAGTGATATGATAAAAGAATGACCATGTAACCTTTTTGTTTCCATTTAAAATAGAGCAAATTATTACCGGAGGCGTAAATCTTCCCACATCTTCAATAATCCGCAGAGCATTACTATCTCGTAGTATTTTTTCCAGCATTCAACAGCCTCTGCCGCAGAGGGGTCTTCTTTAATATTGCTCTGATACTCAATGAGCTCCACACGCTTCTTTTTATATTTCTCCAGAGTTTTTTTGAAACGTTGTGCAATAGGACCCGGTATTGTTCCATCCTGTATATCACACCACCTGAAAAGTATCAATAGAGTTACAGTGTTTCTCTTAGATAAGGTGCTGAATATGATTTTCACTATACTTACAAATTAATTCTTTCTTCAATCAAAGCGGTATAATTCTCACAACTTTCTTCATCATCCCAGTCTCTCCAAAGGAAGTCATAGAAAAACCTGTGATAAAATCAAATTAGGATGAAAGTGCTCAAAAATAGCAAGTACCACGTTTAGAATTAAAAAGACATTCTGATGTCAGAAGTCTTTACATGAATCTTAATTCTTAAGAAAAAAATTTTTTAATGACCTTTCAATGAATTAATAGTAAAGGTAAACTTTAAAAATTAGGTTATCTGGATTCTAGGTTACTACAGATAAGATAATGTTTTTTGAAGTGGAACTGTAAATTTCAGATTCCAGATTTCATAGATTTTGGTTATTTTGTTCACCAAAAAAATAATCCTTAAGATATAATCAGATTTGTATATTAAGGGGAGGAAAGCATTAGAAAAACATAAACATGCCCCAGGATATTCTGTATTAAGTTTATGGATAGCTTCTCTCAAATTGTATCAGCTTGTTAGGAAGCAATCATAATGTGAATGATGACCTCTAGTATTTGTAATGCCCTTAAATGGGAAAAATGAAATCTGATACAGTTAAGATGCTTAAATATGAACAGAATTTAATATTATCTGTAGACTTTTTTAAATTCAACTTTTATAAAATGCAAGACTGAAAAATAGCACATTTTTCATTGCCCATATATAATATGTTGCAAGAGAATGTTTTAACTGAAAGAGTTCACAATATGCTCATTAAAAATGGACAAATTGAATTCAGCAGTGAGTAAAAATTAAATCAATAAATATTCATAAAGCGCTTATATGAACAAAACTTACATATTAAATTTTTGACTATGATAATTGTAACTTTCAGAAGTAAAAGCTCCAATACCTTACAACTTCCAAGGCCAAAGCAATATCCTGTGAATCAGAATCTTGTCGTTCAACAGGGTACACTTCCAAGAGAGGCACATTATACTCTAGTTCTTCTAAAACCTCATCAACCAAATCCCTTGGAATATTTGAAATGTTAGAAGAAAAAGGCTCAGCAACAGAAACAGTAACTTTGAAACAAGACGATGAGCTTTGGTGTGGTTTACAAGTTACCTAAAATAAATATTATAAAATGTATGATTACAAATGAAAGTAAAACCACAAGGATTTTTTCTCATATATGAGCTACTTATAAAATTTCTTCTTTTAAATACTTTATTTCTCTAGCAATCAATATATAGAATAATTACAGCTCAATATTACATAAAATATCAACATAATTTTCCAAACCCCTTTTCTTAAACACATTAGTTTTTCAGGTTCATGAGCGGAATTGCATATCTCCTACATTATTTATTTCTAAGTTTGAGTTGCCAGACTTTTGGATTTTATAGAACAGCAGTATTTTAAAAGGTTCTTTTGGACAAATTTTGCCATGAAAGGACACAAACAGTAAATCCTTAATTTGAAAAAATTTAACTTTATAAACAACACACTGTTGTGTTTACTTGGCTCATTTCACCACGATATAGTGATAACCGCCAGCACTTGCCTGAAAATCAGTGCTTGAGAACCAGAGTCAACAGTACTGTTTCTTGAAGATGACATCCATTAACTTCCTGAGAGGGGTACACTGGACACAACTTTTGAGATCACACGTAATTGAAAACGTCTTTTTTTCTACTCTTATGTTCTTTCCATGGCTCCTTCCATGGGTACTCCATATATCAGTATCTTTAGGTCTTTTCTTTTGAGCGGATCCTAGAAACACCTGCCTGCTCCCATGCCTAGAGAGATATGCCTTAGCTGCCTGTGTTCTAGAAGTAGAGTCAGGGTAGAAGGCAGAGCATTCCAACATTCAGTGCCAGCAAACTTTCTTATTCCCTTCTCAATGGGATACGCCCGTTCTAAACCATGCTTCTCAAGCCAGCTTCTTAAATCTGTAGGTTTATGTCTTTTGCCAAATTTGGGGAATAGCCATTATTTCTTTGAATATTTTTTCAGGCCTGCCTTTTCTTGTCTCCTTCTGGGACTCTGAAGACATGAATGTTAGGTTTTTGTTATAGTCCAACATGTCCCTGAGGCTCTGTTCTTTTTTTTTTTTTCAGTCTATTTTCTCTCTGGGGTTCAAGTAATTTCTGTTTCTGTCTTCAATTCATTGATTGCTTCCTCAGACTTCATTCTGCTCTTGAACACATCCATTCAGTTTATTTCAGTTATTGTGCTTTTTTAGTTCTAAAACTTTTGTTTTTCTTTATATCTTTCATTTGTTTGCAGAGATTTTGTTTCTTTGCTGAGATTGTTATTTGTTTCACATGGGTTCATAATTACTCATTGGTGCATTTTGTGATGACTGCTTTGAAATCCTTGTCGGATAATTCTAACATCTGTGTCATCTCAGTGTTGATGTCTATTGTTTTATCCCATTCAAGTTAAGATTTTCCTGGTTCTTAGAAATGATTGAGAAGTGATAGAAAGTGATTTTCTATTGAAGCCTGGACATATTATGGTATGAGATTCTCAATCTTATTTAAATCTTTTATCGGTCCTCCCTGACATCAGTCTGATGCAGAAAGGGGGTTGCCACCTTGGTACTGCCAGATGGGGATGGGAGTCCAGGTTCTCCACTCAGCCTCTCTTAACACTGGGGTGGGGTTTGGCGGTGGGGGGGTTCTTCGTTACTGCTGTTCACAGGTGGGAGTTCAGGTTCCCCATTAGGCCTCCACTGATACCACCCTGGCTGAGAGAGGAACACCTCATTACTGCTCCCCGTTGTCTTCACTGATGTCATTGTTGGGGGGGGGGCAGGGGTGCAAGTCCTGATTCTCCACTTGACCTTTTCTAACACCACCTTGCAGGGAGGGGAAGGAATCCCTCATTACTGGAGGAGGGAGTCCAGGGTTCTCACCAGGTCTTCTCTACCACCGCTGTGACAGTGGGGTTCCTGTGCCTCCATACAGCTTGGCAAAGGTAGTCTCTATGATTGAAAACAGGCCATTGTCTTTCTGTAAAAATACCACTAGCTTCTCCACAGGACACAGAATTGAATTGCTTTCAGGTAGTGTGCATTGTAATGAGTTTCAAATGCAAGTTCTCTGTGACCAAAACTACAGGTTTGAAATATCTGTGGCAGGGCTACCATTTGTGCTTGTAAATGTTAATTTCTGTACAAGGCTAATTGACCTTTAAGGGAATCAAATTTATAACATCGACTATGCCACAATATTTAACCTACAGACATAAGATAAGCAAAATCTTACCAGATGAAGGCTTGAAAGTTGATGTATTATATTAAAAGGGTACTTTTCATGGGAAAAATTTTCAAATTTTATTGATAGTTTTCCGATCCATTTTTTTCTTTCCTAATCTAATTAAATCTTATAATTCAGGTAAATTAAGATTAAAGGGAAATGATAGAAAAAGAAGGCCCAAACTTGTTAAAGCCTAAATTACTAGTTTTTAAGAAATGTGCTTTTATTATTTTTGTTATTTTAACAGTTAAAACTAGGCTAATAAATACTGTCTGCTACTACTAGATTCCATTTAATAACTATTTACAGATAAATGACTGTAATATCCCCCCTTAGAAACTTAAAATACAAGAACATTTTTGTCAACTTCTGTTTAAGTATCAAAGCCCAAAATTAATAAGGTAATAATTTGGTCTTAAAAAGAACTGATAATTTCGCTTAAAAGATCAGGTAAAAAATTTTCACCTCAACCAGTATACCAACAAAAGGGATGGAAGCTTCTTCATATTTGACAAAGAATAGTTCAGGATTAGTCTTCCAGACTCCAAGCCATTTGTCTTTCAACTTTAATTTTTCTGACAGGTATTTACTCATAGCCTCATCAGCATCTTCTGCCTAGCAAAAGAAAACAGTATGTATGTATACACACAAACACACACACATATATATATATGAAATTCTAGATTTATATATTTTTTTATAGATTTCTATTTAAATATGGAACCAATACATCCTTAAAAATTAAACCTGGAAAATAGTAGATTTTAACTGAATCTATAATGGAAAATATAAACATTAAAAAATTAAAATAAACTTAAAAGAGATCTGTTCACTCAATAGATCAATAATTCTGAGATGAGACATCTAATTATTTGTCTTAAGTAATTTGTTTTATTAATCCACTGAGCAGAAAGAACTGTAATTATACAT